GATCTCATATTTATTTTTCAGTAACTTTTTACTGTAGATTGTGTATACATAGAGGCTGGGCAAGTAGGAGAAGAGTCCAGAAATACAGAACATACTTATTTACTTCCTGTGCAACAAAGCAGTCCATACCAAACTGTCCTTACTTCTTGGCTACCTACTTCCTACTTAAAGCTGACTTCCCTCTCCACCATCTTGGTGAAATCATTTCACAAAAATTACTCAATGTCAACTCCAACAGCCTTCCTTCCATCCTTCCTCCTGGACTTCTGCAATAATAATGGTGCTCTTTGTGGAATTTCTCTTTAATCTTGATTTATGTGATTTTACTTTACCCTGTTCCTTCTATCTCTTTTAACTTCTCTCTTTTCTCCTGTCTGCACTTCCTATTTCTATCCTTTTGCTGTATAAATGTTGTGTGGATTAGGTCTTGATCTTCTGGTCTTCCCACTGTCCTTTAGAGCATCTATTCTCTTGGTTCCTGCTTTCTCATCTATGTGATGATATGATCACAGCTAACATCTACTGAGCACTTATTATGTGAATTATAAACACTTTACATTAATTATAGCAGTTAATCTTAATTATCATATTATTAACCCCACTTGAAAAGATGAGAAAATTGAGGTTTTGACAATTGTCCTTGAAAAACCCAACCTGAGCAGTGTTCCATCCCACCCCTTTTGTTAATGACTCTCAGAGTTTGTTTATTGTGACTTTTAGATTGTTAGAATGTAGGGGTAAGGCTGTATTTTGAAAATATTGGAGATATTATAGCAATGGACAAGGACACTAATTTAGAGATTATTTGTGATGATTTGTCTTTGTTTTTTCTGACTAGGTCAGGTATAAGATGAGCTCATCCTGAGCTAAATTTGTCTCTCTATTTTCTGCCTTATAAAAGGAGCCATGGCTCCAATGGGAAGGTCCTGGTGTCACTTATACAACCCATCATCCCTACTGCTGCCAGATTAACCTCCCTGGAGCAGTGCTCTCTTAGTTTTACTCCCCTTTTCTTTGTTGTTATTGTTAGTTGCTATGGATTTGGCCCCGACTCAGGGCAATTCTATGTGTAACAGAATGATATGCTACCCAGTCCTACACCATCTCCATGATCTTTGGTATGTTTGAGTCCATACATTGTTGTAGCTATTGTTTCAATCACCTCATTGAGGGTTTTCCTCATTTTCACTGACTAACTTTACCAAACATGATGTCCTTTTCTAGCGATTGGCCTTTCCTAATCATTTATCCAAAGTAAGAAAGCTAAAATTTCACCATCCTCACTTCTAAGGAGCATTCTGGTTCTACTTCTTCTAAGTTGATTTGTTCCTTCTTTTGGCAGTCCACAGTATATTCATCATTCTTTGTCAAGATGTCAAAATGTATTAATTCTTCTTCTGTCTTTCATTTTCATTCTCCAGCTTTCACATACAAATGAGGCACCTTCAGGACTCTAAACTAGATCAGGCACACTTTAGTCCTCAAAGTGACATCTTTGCTTTTTAAAATTAAGGGGGTCTTTTACAGTAAATTTTCCCAATGCAATACATCATTTGATTTCTCGATTGCTGCTTACTGATTTTTCACATTCTTTAATTACTTGTCCCCAGTTTACCTTCTGTATGCTAGCTCCCATCACTTTACACTAAATGTCCTGTACAGTACATTTGCTCCAACCAAATGAACTACTAGCTGCTCCTTACATAAGCCCTGTACTCTCCTACCTCTATGTTCTGCTGATGTTTCCACCGTCTGTCATGCCTATCCCACCTGCCACCAATCTCCTTCTGTCAAGATTCTACCCATCATTCAAGACATTCTCAGATGCCACTTCGACTACTAAGCTTTAACTGATGCATAGAATAAGATATTTGAACTTACATGTCCCCATAATATGCTACTCTAATACTTTATTTGAACATTTACCATAGTACGTTTGATATCTAACATTTGTGATACACAAATGTTAACCAAGGACTTTTCTAAGTGTTTTCCTATATTAACTCCTTTAATTTTTATCATAATTCCAGGAAACATTATCCTCATTTTATAACTGAAAAAATTTAGGTACATGAAAGTTAAATAGGAAGTCTGATGGCATGGTGATTAAGTGCTCAGCTACTAACCAAAAAAGTTGGCAGTTTGAACCCACCAGCTGCTCCACAGGAGAAAGATGTGGCAGGCTGCTTCTGTAAAGACTACAGCCTTGGAAACCTTACAGGGTAATTCTGCTTTGTTCTACAGGATTGCAATAAGTGACTCAACAGCAATGGAGTGGGATGTTAAATGGCTTGCAATTAATTGAGCTTGTAAGGAGAGAGCCAAGTTTGTCCACCCAAGCAGCCTGCTCCAGAAGCTACCCTCTTAAACGTATGTTATACTGTTTGATTCCAAGTTACCTACTTAGCTGAAGGAGCCCTGGTGGTGCAATGGTTAAGGCATTTGGCTGCTAACCAGAAGTTTGGTGGTTCAAACCTACCAGCTATGCAGTGGGAAGAAGATGAGGCAATCTCCTTCCTAAAGATTTCCAGCCTTGGAAACCCAATGAGGGTCACTGAGTCAGAACTGACTTCATGGCAGTGGGTTTGTTTTTTGGGTTTTTTTGTTTGTTTATTTGTTTACTTAGTTGAAGGCCATTATGATCATCAAGCTCTGAGTCTGATGTATCTTTTATATTCCCTTCTTCTACATCAAGCACAGTTTTATGCAGAGATGCCTGATATATAGGAGCTCTGGTGGCATAGAGCCGAAGGCATTTGACTGCTAACCAGATGGTTGGTGCTCCATGGAAGGAAGATGGGGCAATCTATTTCTGTAAAGATTTACCACCTTGGAAACCTAATGGGGGTGGCTATGGGTCGGAATCCACTCAAAGGCAGGGTTTTATATATATATATATATATATATATATATATATATATATAGGAGCTCTGGTGGCATAGTGCCTAAGGCACTTGACTGCTAACCAGACACTCCTCAGAAGGAAGGTTAGGCAAACTACTTCCGTAGTTATACTGCCTCAGAAACCCAAGCAGGGGTCACTATGAGTCTGGGCCGACTCGACGGCACATAACATATATGAATTGCCTTTCAATGATCTCCTTAATATGAAATTTCCCTACTTATCCAATTTTTTTCCCTCTGTTCTCTACCACACCCTTTCACAGCTTAACTTCAGGCTTTAGAATTTTACAATTTTAACAGACATGTGCCTACTCTAAGGAGTTCTGGTGACGTAGTGAATAAGTACTTGACTACTAACCAGATCAGCAGTTCAAACCCAACAGCTGTTCCACGGAAGTAAGACAGGGTGATCTACTTTCGTAAAGACTTACAGCCTCAGAAACCCAATGGGGGTGGCTATGAGTCAGAAACAACTCGATGGCAGTGAGTTTGTTTTTTGGTTTTGGTGCCTACTCTGAAGTAGGAACTGGGCAGGGGACAGGTGAAACACAAGAATGAGTAAGCTACAGGTCTTGTCCTTTAAAAAGTGCACATTTATATTATCACATGAGAAATATAGCAGGATGTTTTGGGAAATACAGTAGGTGACCCAAAGATGATTTTATGGAGAAAATGATGCCTGAGTTTGTCTTAAATATTGAAAAAAAGGGCCAAGTAGAGCAGGAAAGGATAGCATTGTAAGCAGAAGCAGCAAACAGAGTATTCAAAGATTTCCTAATTTTTAACATAACTGGAACAAAAGTGGCAAGAGTTAAGTAGTAAGTAGGTGAAGGTCAGATCATCAATAGTTTACTAAGTGATGCTATGATTCACCCCCACCCCCCCAAGCACTGGGCTGCCTTTAACAGATTTTTAAAAGGAAAAATAATGACCAGATCTTTCTTTTTAGAAAGATCTCAGAATGCAAGATTGTTTAGAAGTTGGAGAAAATGGAATCAGGAAGGTGAATTATAAAATTGTTAAAGAGATTGGAGCAGGCAGGAGAAAAATTCAGAAGAGGGATTCCATGAAAACCTCTCTGTAAACATTTCATGAAAACCCACCTTATACAGAAAGACCTCCAAGTACATTAGTCTTCAGTAACAACCTCCACCCAATTTCCTACAGTATTTGTAAAATCTTCAGCCAAAAATTTGTAATTTATTTTATGTCATTCTCTAATTGTTTCCTCACTTGACTGCTAACCAGAAGGCTGGCGGTTCAAACCCACCAGCCACTCCTCAGAAGGAAGGTTGGGCAATCCTACTTCCGTAGTGATACTGCCTTGGAAACCCAAGGAGGGGTCGCTATGAGTCAGGGCTGACTCGATGGCACATAACAACAACAACAACAACAACAACAACAGTAGTTTCCTCCAAATAAAACAATAGAACTAACATTTATTGAATTGAAATGTAAAGTCTTCCAAAGCCAGCGGCTTGATAATGCGCTCTGTGCCACCCCACCTCCCCGCCAAGCCGCGCACACTGGCGGGCCCACACTCGGCCCCAGTCCGCTGCAGACTAGCAAGCTGATCACTTTGTCGCCAGCTTCTGAGACCTAGCAGGAAGCTGCCTGGAGTGCCTGAGATGAAGACCATGGAGGTGTCCACGAGAGGGCGCGTCCCTCAGGTTTCCTCGGCGGTTCCAACTCACCAGCGCACTTCAGGAGAAAGATCAGGCACTCGGTTTAGGTAAAGATTTATAGCTTGGAAACCCTGTGCGGCAGTTCTACGGCTGAGTATGAGTTGGAATTGATTTGAGCCCAGTGGATTTTGGTTTTCTTAAACCGCTTTCAGAAGTTCCGCAACAACGAAACTTTAACACTGACGTATTTAGGCCCTCTGCATTTGCCGTAGCTACTAACAAGTAAACAGGAAGTACAAATTTCTATTTGGGATTTTCGATGATGCGGTGAAAAGGAGAAACTCTACGAGAAGCATCTACTACCACCGTTGTGTACGCTTTCATGAGTCGTCATTTTGTCTCCACTTTTGTGCTTTCGTTGTCTGTTCCTGCTCCAGTAGAGGTACTCAGTCCTCCTTTGTTTTAAAGTTTCACCAGCACCATGGCCGAATATTCCTATGTGAAGTCCACCAAACTCGTGCTCAAGGGAACCAAGGCTAAGAGGTGAGACCGGAAAGTGATGTGGGAGAGTCCTCCTTTCTTTTCTGACATGTCCCCGCCTCCGCCCGTCCCAGGGAAACTGTAGCGCGCAGTCCTTGTGGCTCGCAACCTTGGGCCCTGGTTTCGTTTGGGACGTTCAGAAGCTGCAGCTTAGTTCCCGGCGCCTGTACTAAGCTGGCAAGATAGGCCACGGAGACATGCACTAGCTATTACAGCCTGCAAAGGGTGGAGACAGGCGAGGAAGACCAAGAGCTCAGGAGCCACAAGTTTCGTTTCCTTTCCTTTTCTGGCTCTGAGGCCTCCCTCCACATCTCCGAATGGGGGTCCGCATTGGTCGTAGCTATATTTTCCTTGCATAGGTATACGTATTTTCACCATTATCCCTTTAACCACCACCACCACCAAAAAAAAAAAGTTAATTTTTCTTGAAATGTAATACGAGACCTGGATCTTGATTAAATCATATAGTGGTTAAGGATAGGTTCTTCGATAGAGCTATTGTAATAATCGTGGTAGAAATCTTGACCCCACCAATTATTAATTTTGTGGTTTGGGACAAGTTGGTTAATATCTGTGAGAGTGCATTTGCTCATTTTTGAAGGGGGATTACTCTCCTCCAATAACATTATTGGAGCTCCAGTAGCACAGTGCATGCCTAAACTATCTGACTTCTAACCAGAAGGTTGGTGATTCAAACCTACCAGCCACTCCGCGGAAGCAAGACTGGGCAATCTACTTCCATAAAGATTTACTGCCTTGAAACCCATTGGGAGTCACTATGAGTCGGAATCCACTGGATAGCAGTGGGTTTGGTTTGGGTTTTTTTAAATAGCATTATTATGAGGACAAAATGAAATGAGATATGTATAGCAGAAGCTTTGGTGGTGTTGTGGGTAAGGCACTTGGCTGCTAACAGGAAGGTCAGCTGTTTAAACCCACCAGCTGCTCTGCGGAAGACAGGGCAGTCTACATCTGTAAAGATTTACAGCCTCAGAAACCCAATGGGGGTTGCTATGAGTTGGAAACGACTTGAGTATAGGAAGTGTTGTTGTTACATGCCAAGGAGTTGGTTCTGACTCATAGCACTGTATGTACAACAGAAGGAAACAGTGACTTGTCTTGTACCATCTTCATAATTGTTGGTATGTTTGAGCCCATTGTTGGAGTCACTGTGTCAATACCTCTTGTTGAGGGTCTTCCTCTTTTCTACTAGTCTTCTATTTTACCAAGCATAGTATCCTTCTCCAGGGACAGGTCTTTCTTGATAGCATCTCCAAAGTGCATGACACGAAGTCTCACCATCCTTGCTGCTAGAGAGCATTCTGGATGTACTTCCTCTAAAGCAGATACCGTCATTCTCCTGGGAGTCCCTGGTATATTCAGTTATCTTCACCAACACTGTAATTCAGATGCATCGATTCTTCTTCAGTCTTCCTTACTCATTGTGGTAGTTAAGTTTGTGTGTCAGCGTAGCTGGGCCTGGTTGAGTGACTGGGCAGCTGGATGTAGTATTCCCCATGATGAGACTGGTCATCCACTCCATGTTGGAATCTACTGAGCAGCTGAATAGCTGCCTTAGGGATGTGGTTTGCTTCCTGTATATAAGGAGAAGCCTTGAGGAACGGTCTCTAGTTTATAGCCCGCTTAAACCCTGCATGTAACCGTGTCATTGTTCAGCAGGCTGCCATGCTCTGCCGACCTTGGGACTTCCAATGGACTTGAATTAATGGCCTGCTGTGTGGTTTGGTAACATCAGGACTGTTCCTTTTTACTTGTCAACCTTGGGTTTTTTGGTCTCAGCAGCCAGCAGCTGTCTGAGTGAAGAAAAATGTCTAGCTTCACTGGGCTGGGAGCAGGAGGCAGAGCTGAAGCCCAGGGTTGAGAGGCTTTCAACCAGCCCCTAGAACCTGGCACTTTGAACTCAGACTTAAAGCCTCCAAACTGTAAGAGAATAAACTCCTGTTTGTTCAAGCCATCGCATTTGTGGTATATTCTTGTCAGAGCAGTTCTAGGTAACCAAAACAGAATATGGTACCGAGAGAGTGGGGTGCTACTCTGACAGATACCTAAAATGTGGAAGCAGGAGTGGAGTGCATCCTTGACCTGAGACACTGGCAGAGAGACCCCAGCATGTGGCATGAAAGACAGCAGTAGCAGAACCCAGAGACTGGCATTAAGCAGTAACAGGCTTACCAGCCCATGGAGGAGAAAGCCGTGTGCCGTTGAACAGGTGGCTTCCTGGCAGAGTGGGTTGTCTTCGGGCATTAATTGGTAGAAGAGACCGGCATGAGATGGAGTAGAAGGTTGGCTGGCCCATGGAGCAAGAAAGCTAATTGTCCTTTGGGCAGGAAGATTTACAGGGGAATGGGTTTGCCCTCGGGCACTAATCGGCAGAAGCGGAAAGATCAAGGAAGTGGGAAGGAGAGCTGCCTCAGCCTCAAAGGATAGGACCATGGCCTTTGGGCGTGGAACCACCAGAGCCCCTAGGTTTCAAAGAGCCAGACCCACACTAACTTGGTTCTGGAGTGTGGGGCTGCTCGTTCATGTGGGCCAGTGAGATGGAGCCAAAGCTGCTGCCCAGGAGAGAGGGGGCAGGGCTGCCATGCCCAAGAGGTAGGGTAACCGGGCCGCCAGGCCAAGGGGGTGAGGTTGCCACTCAGGAACTAGGGGATTAGAGCCACCCAGTGAAGGAGATCAGTACAGGTGCCAAGTTGACAAGGGGTAGAATTGTGGTGGTTAAGTTTGTGTGTCAACTTGCCTGGGTCTGGTTGAGTGGCTGGGCAGCTGGATGTAGTATTCCCCATGATGAGACTGGTCATCAACTGCATGGTGGAATCTACTGTGAGCAACTGAGTAGCTGCCTTAGGGATGTGGTCTGCTTCCTGTATATAAGGAGAAGCCTTGGGGAACTATCTCTAGCTTATGGCACACTTCAACCCTTCATGTAGCCATGTTGTTGTTCAGCAGCCTGCCATGCTCTGCCAACCACAGGGCTTTCAATGGACTTGAATTAATGGCCTGTCGTGTGGTTTGGTAACATCAGGACTGTATCTTTTTACTTGTCAACCTCTTTTGTGTCCCTTGTATGTGTATTTAACTGTTGTATGTAAAACAGTCTCACCCAAACCACAATAAAAAGTTAAAAAGAAAAAAATCCTCCTAAGTGGACCAGTAAGCAATATCTTGATAAACAGAGAAAAGACTGAAGTTATTTAGGATTTCATTTTACTTGGATCAACAATCAATGCCCATAGAAGTAGCAGTTAAGAAATAAAATGACGCACTGCATTGGGTAAATATTCTGCAAAAGCTATCTTTAAAGTGTTAAGAAGCAAAGATGTCACTTTGAAAACTAAGGTGCACTTGACCCAAGTATGGTATTTTCAGTCACCTCATATGCATTTGGGAGCTCTGGTGACATAATGCCTAAGGCATTTGACTGCTAACCAGAAGGCTGGTGGTTCAAACGCACCAGCCACTCCTTGGAAGGAAGATTGGGCAATCTACTTCCATAGAGATAACGCCTCAGAAACCCATGGGGGGGTTTTTCTGTGAGTTGGGATCGACTTGATGACAGTGAATTTGGTAATTTTTTATTTTTTTTTTTCATATGCATGTGAAAACAGGACAGTGAGTGTTTTGCTTACCTATTGCCACTAACGGGATGGCTTGAACAAACAGGAGTTTTATTCTCTTACAGTTTGGAGGTTTTAAGTCCGAGTTCAAAGTGCCAAGCTCTAGGGGCTGTGTGAAAACCCCTCAACCTTGGGCTTCAGCCCACTGAAGCTAGAGACATCTCTTCACTCAGGCAGTGACTGGCTGCTGAGGCTAACAAGCCCAAAGTCGACAACTAAAATGGCACAATCCTAATGTTACCACCACACGGCAGGCCATTAATTCAAGTCGATTGAAAGTACCAAGGTCAGCGGCAGGGCATGGCAGGCCTTGAATGGCTACATGCAGGGTTCAAGTGTGCCATAAGCTAGAGACCGTTCCCCAAGGCTTCTCCTTATATACAGGAAGCAGACCACATCCCTAAAGCGGCTACTCAGCCACTCACAGTAGATTCTACCATGGAGTTGATGACTAGTCTCATCATGGGTAATACTACATCCAGCTGCCCAGCCACTCAACCAGGCCCAGCCAACTTAACACATAAACTTAACCACCACAATGACCAAAGTAGATGAGACAAAGTCTGGCCATTATCACTTCCAAAGAGCATTCCAGCTGCACTTCTCTCAAGACAGATTTGTTTGTTCTTCTGGCAATCCATGGTATTTCCAGTGTTCTTTACCAATACCACAACTCGAAAGACATCAACTCTTCTTCGGTCTTCCTTATTTGTTGTCCAGCTTTCATATGTATATGTTGTTGTTGTTATGTGCCATCGAGTTGGACCTGACTCATAGCAACGCCTCCTTGGGTTTCCAAGATGGTAACACTACGGAAGGGAGCTCTGGTAGCATAGTGGCTAAGACACTTGCCTGCTAACCAGACGGCTGGCGGTTCAAACCCACCAGCCACTCCTCGGAAGGAAGGTTGGGCAATCCTACTTCCGTAGTGATACTGCCTCTGAAACCCAAGGAGGGGTCGCTATGAGTCAGGGCCGACTCCACGGCACATAACAACAACAACAACAAATCACTACGGAAATAGATTGCCCAACCTTCCTTCCAAGGAGTGGCTGGTGGGTTTGAACCACTTGCCTTCTGGTTAGCAGTCAAGTGCCTTTAGCACTACACTATGAGGCGATTGAAAATACGGCTTGGATTAGTTGTACCTTAGTCTTCAAAGTGACATCCTTGCTTCTTCACACTTTAAAGACATCTTTTGCAGCACAGTTGCCCAGTACACAATGATGTCTGATGTCTTGACTGCTGCTTCTGTAGGTATTGATTGTAGATCTAAGTAAAATTAAATCGCTAACAACTTCAGTCTCTTCTCCATTGATTGTGATGTTGCTTATTGGCCCAGTTGTGAGGATTTTTGTTTTCTTTATGTTGAGGTGTAGTCCATACTGAAGACTATAGTCTTTGACCTTCATCAGTAAGTACTTCAAGTCTTCTTCACTTTCAGTAAGCAAGGTTGTGTCATCTGCATATCGCAGGTTATGATTCTTTCTCCAATCCTGATGCCATGTTCATTTTCATATAGTCCAGCTTCTCGGATTATTTGCTCAGCATACAGATTAAATAAATATGGTGAAAAGATACAACCCTGACGTACACCCTTCCTGATTTTAAACCATACAGTATCCCCTTGTTCTGTTCGAATGACAGCCTCTTGGTCTGTGTATAGGTTCTTCACGAGCACAATTAAGTGTTCTGGAATTCCCATTCTTTGCAGTGTTGTCCATAATTTGTTAAGACCCACACAGTCAAATCCCTTTACAATGACTATGAAACACAGGTAGACATCTTTCTGGTATTCTCTGCTTACAGCCAAGATCCATCTGACATCAGCAGTGATACCCCTTGTTCTACCTCCTCTTCTGAATTCACTTTGAATATTTGGCTGGTCCCTGACAATGTATTGCTGCAACTGTTTTTTAATTATTTTCAGTAAAATTTTACTTGTGGGTGATACTGATGATGTTTGATAATTTCCACATTGTATTGAATCACCTTTCTTTTAAATGGGCACAAAAATTGATCTCTTCCAGTCAGTTAGCCAGGTAGCTGTCTCTCTGATTTCTTGGCATAAACAAGTAAGTGCCTTCAGTGCTGCATCCATTTATTGAAACATTTTAATGGGTATTCCATCAATTCCTGGAGACTTGTTTTTTGCCCAATTCCTTCAGTGCAGCTTAGACTTCTTCCTTCAGTACCATTGGTTATTGATCACATGCTGCCTCCTGAAATAGTTGAACATTGACCAGTTCTTTTTGGTATAAAGACTATTCCTTTCATCTTATTTTAATGCATCCTGCATCATTCAATGTTTTGCCCATAGAATCCTTCAGTATTGCAACTTGAGGCTTGAATTTTTTCTTCAGTTCTTTCAGCTTGAGAAATGCTGAGTATGTTCTTCTGTTTTGGTTTTCTAACTCCAGGTTTTTGCACATTTCATTTTAATACTTTACTTTGTCTTCTGAAGCCATCCTTTGAAATCTTCTATTAGCTCTTTGGTCTCATCATTTCTTCAATTCGCTTTAGCTACGCTACATTCAAGAGCTAGTTTCAGAATCTCTTCTGACATCCATTTTGGTCTTTTCTTACTTTCTTGTCTTTTTAATTACCATTTGCTTTGTTCATGGATGATGTTCTTGATGTCATCCCATGTCATCTGGTTTTCAGTCATTGGTGTTCTAATTTTAGCTCTCATGGACTTATTTCTTCATCTTTCATCTTGAACTTGCATATGACCAATTGATGATCTGTTCCACAGCCATCTCCTGGTCTTATTTTGACTGAAGATATTGAGCTTCTTCATATTACTCAGATCATCGCAACCACTAGTCTACATTCTGTCTCTATGGATTTGCCTGATTTGGACATTTTATACAAATGGAGTCATATAATATATGGTCTTATGTGTCTGCCTTTTTTCAATTAGCATATTTCATGGTTCATCAGTACTTCATTCCTTTTTATGGTTGAATAATATTCAGTTTGTGTGTGTGTGTGTATATAAAACATATTTTGATTATTCATCAGTTGATAGACTTTTGGATTGTTTGGGCTGTTTCTGCCTTTTGGCTATTTTGGAAAATGATGCTGTGAACATTCAAATACATATCTTTGTTTGAAAACGTTTTCAGTTCTCTTCAAGTAAGTAGAATTGCTGGTTATATGGTAATTTTGTAACTTTTTGAGGAACCACAAACTTTTTTCCAAAGTAGCTGTTCTATTTTATATTCCCACCAGCAATGTATAGAGGTACATTTTAAGTCTTAATCCTCACCATAACTTCATGAGGTAGATTATATTTTTATCACTTTTTTATAGGTAGGGAAACTGAATCACAAAGAGGTTGAGTAACCTTCAAAAACCCACACACATAAGAAGGGGCAGAATCAGGATTCGAATTGAGGGATTGTGGTTCCAGAGTCTGAGCATATGTGCAGGGTCAGAAGTGACTTCCCAGTACTTTAAGGTAAAGTATACCAGTGTAAATCAATGATATGTAAAATCAGTGTACAGTTTAAAAGATTCTTCTAAGTCTTTATATTACAATATTTAACATACAATTCAATATATCTAAAGTCCTCTGTATAATTACCTCCTATAGTAAGAAGAAGAGCAAAGATAAAAAAAGAAAAAGAGAAGAAGATGAAGAAACCCAACTTGATATTGTTGGTGAGTCAATTTTTAATACTTCATGCTGAGGAAACATAGTATCTTTGAGTTCTCATTAAACTTTTTTACTAGATAGAAATAAACGGTAAAAAAAAAAAATTAAAAAAAGGAATTTTCATATTTCATATTTATATTTGTCTTAAAGTATTCAAATATAATTTGCATTTATAGATTCCTTATTTTTTTTAGCATAATAGATGTCACTAGTACCTTTTCTCTATTATCAGAGCAAAGCACAAGAGAGAGAAATATAACTCTGATTTAATAGGGACCATTAGTATACTTAATAGTCCACATATTCTGATATATAATTTTTAAGGCCTAATTAAGGAACTCTGGTGGCATAGTGCCTAAGGCATTTGACTGCTAACCAGAAGACTGGTTCAAACGCACCCGCCACTCCTCAGAAGGAAGATTGGGCAATCTACTTCCATGGTGATAACGCCTTAGAAACCCAAGGAGGGGTCGCTATGAGTCGGATCCAACTTGATGCCAGTGAGTGGTTTTGGCTTAATAAGGATAAATGTTATTTAAACCAAACATATTTTGCAAATTATTTTCTCTGCATGTTTATTCATTTTAATTGTAGAAGTGATCCTTAAACAAAATAGATGAGGTCTCTGCCCTTATAGAACTTGTGTTATAGACAGTTAAATGAAAAAATGACAATATGTGGTAACCTTTTATGTGTTGTAAGACTATATAGCAAGAGCTCCTAACTAAGTCAGCATAATTTTTAGTAAAAAATAACATTAAGCATGTCTCTATATTTTATTTAAAGTATAAAAAAGCCCACTGTCATCAAGTTGATTCCAACTCATAGCAACCCCCACTTGGTTTCCAAGGCTGTAGATGTTTATAGAAATAGACTGCTTCATCTTCCTCCTTTGGAGGAGCTGGTGGATTTGAACCACTGACCTTCTGATTAGCAGTCAAATATTTTACCCACTACACCACCAGAGCTTCTATGTTTAAAGCATAGCATAAAAAAGTATTTTTCATCTGCACACCACTAATGAGATACATTATTGAAATCACTTTATTTAACTTTAAGTGTACTTGCTTAACATGGTTTTTTTTTTAAAAAATTGTAAAAACTTCCTGCCATCAAGACAATTCCATCTCATAACAACCCTAAGGACAGAGTAGAATTGCCTCATAGCATTTCAAAGGCTATAACTCTTTATGGAAACGGACTGTCATATACTTTCTCCCATGGGGCAGATGGTGTGTTTGAACCGCCAACCTTTGGGTTGGCTGCTGAGTGCTTTAACCACAGCACCACCAGGGCTCCTCCCAGCATGGCATAGAATGTATACAGATCATTTTAATTATTAATTACTGTATTCGTGAGAAGAATTTCCAGATCACAAGACTTTTGATCATGATTCTAAATAAAGCATTTGTTCTTTCTGCTACAATTGTAGCTATACGTCAGAAATAACTCAAATTATTATCTAAACTTCTTATTATAGGATTATATTTATTGCTTTCTAAGGAGTTCTGGTAGCACAGTGCCTAAGGCATCTGACTGCTAACCAGAAGGTTGGTGGTTCAAACCCACCAGCCACTCCATGGAAGCAAGACTGGGCAATCTACTTCCATAAAGATTTACTGCCTCATAAACCCAGTGGGGGTTGCTATGAGTCAGAATCCACTTGACAGCAGTGAGTTGGTTTAGTTTGGTTTAATAGTCTTTATATAAAATGTTACTAGTATCTTTTAAAATTAAAATTTTGTACATTACACTATATAATGAAAAGCCTGAATTATTTAGCTGAATAGAAAATCTTGTACAGAGTGATTAACTCAATTTTTGAAAATTTTTATTATGGAACCTTTCAAACTAATATGAAAGTAAACAGAAGAGTATAATGAATACTCTACCATACACTTGTACTCCAGTATTAGTGATTATCAATATTTTGTCAGTCTTGTTTCATTTATACACAAACACATATATTTTTTTTCTGGAAAATTTTAAAGCAAATCATAAATATTATGTCATCCATATATACATAAATGTGCACTTCTTTTAAGGCCAGTCTCTCTCCCTCCATCTGTTCACTGTTTTCTACATAACACTATTTCATTATCAGACTTGACAAAATTAACAAGAATTCCTTAATACTGTCTAACATCCACAAGGCCAGAAGCTGACTGTGGACCATCAACTGTTCATATACAAGTTCAAGTTGAAGATGAAGAAAATTAAAACAAGTCCAAACGCCCAAACCAAATGCACTGCCATCAAGTCGGATCCGACTCATAGCGACCCCTCCTTGGGTTTCCAAGGAGGTATTACTACGGAAGTAGATTGCCCAACCTTCCTTCTGAGGAAAAGCTAGTGGGTTTGAACTGCCAGCCTTCTGGTTAGCAGTCAAATGCCTAAGGCACTCTGCCACTAGAGCCAACATATGACCTTGATTATATCCCACCTGAAGAATTGATTTGGTGCATTAAACACAAATAACCAAAGACTGGATGAGTTATGGGATGACATCAAGAACATCATACATAAAGAAAGCAAATGGTCATTAAAAAGACAAGAAAGGAAGAAAAGACCAAAATGGATGTAAGAAGAGTATGAAATTTTCTCTTGAATGTTGAGTAGCTAAAGTGAATGGAAGAACTGATGAGATAAAAGAGCTGAACAGAAGATTTCAAAGGGCAGCTCAAGAAGGCATAGTAAAGTATTATAATGAAATGTGCAAAGACCTGGAGTTAGAAAAACAACAGGGAAGAACACTTGGCATTTCTCAAGCTATAAGAACTGAAGAAAAAAATTCAAGGCTCGAGTTGCAATACTGAAGGATTCTATGGGCAAAATATTGAATAAAGCATTGAGAAGATGAAAGGAATACATAGAGTCACTGTATCAAAAAGAATTGGTCAATGTTCAGCTGTTTCAGGTGGTAGCATATGATAAAGAACTAACGGGGAAGAAGTCCAAGCTGCACTGAAGAAATTGGCAAAAAATAAGGCCCCAGGTATTGACAGAATACCCATCAAGATGTTTCCAGAAACAGATTCAGCACTGGAGGTGTTTACTCATTTATGCCAAGAAATCTGGAAGACAGCTACCTGGCCAGCTGACTAGAAGAGATCAATATTTGTCCCCATTCTAAAGAAAGGTGATCCTACAGAATGTGGAAATTATTGAACAATATCACTATCACATGCAAGTAAAATTTTGCCAAGTACAATTACAGCAGTACATTGACAGGGAACTTCCAGAAATTCAAGCTGGATTCAAAAGAGGGCATGGAATGAGGGATATCATTGCTGATGCCTGATGGATCTTAGCTGAAAGCAAAGAATACCAAAAAGATGTTTCTCTGTGTTTTATTGATGATGCAAAGGCATTCTACTGTGTAAATTGTAACAAACTATGGATAACGTTGTAAAGAATGGAAATTCCAGAACACTTAATTGTGCTCATGAGGAACCTGTACATAAACCAAGAGGCTGTTTTTCAAACAGAACAAGGGGATACTGTATGGTTTCAGATCAAGAAGGGTATACGTCAGTGTTGTATTCTTTCTCCATACTTATTCAATCCATATGCTGAGCAAATAATCCAAGAAGCTGGACTACATGAGGAAGACTCATTAACAACCTGCGATATGCAGATGACACAATCTTGCTTGCTGAAAGTAAAGATGACTTGAAGCACTTACTGATGACTATCAAAGACTACAGTCTTCAGTATGGACTTATGGATTACACTTCCAACATAGAGAAAACAGAAATCTCACAACAGGACCAATAAGCAACATCATGACACATGGAGAAAAAATTGAAGTTGTCAGGGATTTCATTTTACTTAGATCCACAGTCAACAGTCATGGAAGCAGCAGTCAGGATATCAGATGTCATTATTGCACTGGGCATATCTGCTGCAAAAGACCTCTACAAAGTATTGAAGAGCATAGATGTCACTTTGAAGACTAAGGTGTACCTCACCCAAACTGTGGTATTTTCAATTGCCTGATATGCATGTAAAAGCTGGACGATGAATAGGAAAGACCAAAGCAGAATTGATACCTTTGAAGTGTGGTGTTTGCGAAGAATACTGCAAATACCATGGACTGCCAGATGAACAAACAAATCTGCCCTGAAAGAAGTACAGCCAGAATGCTCCTTGGAAGCAAGAATGGCCAAACATCATCTCACCTACTTTGGTCATGTCAGAAGGGACTATTCCCTGGAGAAAGATATCATGCTTGGTAAAGTAGAGGGTCAGCAAAGAAGGGAAGACCCTCAATGAGATGGATTGATACAGTGGCTGCAGTGATGGGCTCAAGCATAGCAAGAATTGTGAAGGTGGTGCAGGACCAGGCAGTGTTTTGTTCTGTTGTATATAGATTCACTGTGAATCAGAGCCATCTTGTCAGTACCTAATAGCAACAACAGGGAGCTCTGGTAGCATAGTGCCTAAAGCACTTGACTGCTAACCAGAAGGCTGGCGGTTCAAACCCACCAGCCACTCCTCAGAAGGAAGATGGGGCA